AAGGGAAGGGAGCTTTACTTTCATGACTGGGAATTGATGTCACTTGTACCTGTGACTTCTCGTGAGGGATCTCACCCCACGCCATCAGCAGGGAGGTTCACAATTAAGGCCCTGCTGTATCCCCGACAGGCAGACCACAGCATCAACAGGTCTCAGGGAGCCAAGCCAAGGCCTATCCTGAGCACGAGCCTACACTCGCACACAGAAGCCCCTGCCCCACTCTGAAAGCCAGCCAGCCGTCTTCCTAGCAAAGGACACATCTGTAAGGAAACTGGCAGAGCTCATAAACCTCACCCAAGGGGGAAAGATCAGGACCCAGGACATATCTGCTTCATTCTCCTAAATTGGTTTCCAAAGAAGCCTCAGTTTCCCCTTGCCAGTGATAGAGGAAACCACAATTTCTTCTCTTCAGACGTTCCATCTCTGTCCCATCAACCTGACACACATGCCACCCCCAAGGTTCTGTCTCAGCATTTCCGGGGCTTCCCAGGAACATATAATTCTTCCCGGAGGCCTAGGCTGACAGGGAAATCAAGATAACGGGCAATTATGCCTGGAGTTAGAGCAGCTACGTGTCTCTGGATTTTCTGGCATCTTTTGTAAATACTTACCAACCGATAAGGAATGCAAGGAGCCTTAAAAAGGGCACACACATAACTCCCTTTTAACTTAGTCCTAGACTAAGCTCCACTTGGGGAGCTATTTTGCGTCTGTCTTCTACTTTCCAATAACTCTGAGTCTGAGCTCTTTGCTACTCCAGTTTCATTCTTGGAAATATTGAAGAACCCGGGAATCGCGAGCAAACAGAGATCCGCCACCACTGCTTCAGCTCACCTGCATCTGGTGGGCTGTTTTCTTATCGACCGGCTGACTTTAGGGAAAACCAGGTGGGTCCCCAAGCATCCATGTCCCACAGGAAGCAACAGAAACCGAGATGGATGGGGACAGGATACAAGTGAATATCATTTGTTCTTTATTATGACACAGTATTTTGTACAGAAAGAGACACGATTGAACATCTAAAGTCAACAATTAGAAAAAGAGAGAGAGAAATCCGAAGCAAAGGTGCTGGCTGCCGCACTCGAGTGAAATCCTTCAGGACTATACAGCTTTCTCAGCACACGCGGCGGCACATGGACAACGTGGACATGAGCAGTGTCCAGGCCACCGACAGGACCCCATGGCATAGGAGTCATGTCGAGAAGCTCAGCTGCACATGTCAGGGTTTCCACGGCCACAAATTCACAATCACAGAGTCAAAGAGCAGGCACGTCCGGGCCTGGGGGAATGGACACCCGTCCGGGGAGCGGGACCGGGAGAGCAAAGCAGCCGTGGGATGTGCCCAGCCTGAACCAGGCCCCAATGGGCCGGGGCTCTCAGTCCAACAGAAGAACAGTTGAGGCTTCCAGCCCCGGTGCTGTGCTGTTTCCAGATCCTTGTCAGAAAAATTCTTGCTCAAGAGACACTCACCACTCACTCCCACGGCCTGTAAAAGGCAAAAGTTCCCTACCCTGGAATATTGGGGGGGGGGGGGAGGGAAGGGCGGCAAAGGCGGGAGCAGCAAGTGTGATAGGAAAACATCTGCTTTACAGGCTATTTAGAAAGACACAGTTACAGGACTCGAAATTGCAGTCTAGTTCACAAAGCGTGTTACTCATAGGGCAAATAAAGGAGGAGAAAGAAAAGCTGCAATCCCCACAACGCAGAAAGAACAGACATCATCCTGTACACAAGCTTTACACAACGGATATGTTGAACCCCCAAGCAGAAGGCACGGTGGAGGGGTCCTTAACATCTTGAACCTTTTCTTTGAACCGAAAGGTCCTCCTTCTACACACGTGACCCTGAAACCTGACTCAAGGGAGGTACGTGTCACAGATTTCGACAGCAAGAAACCACAGTTAACATGAATTTCCTTACGTTGTGATTATCTTGAAGTTCTCAATTAGCGGGCTTCCCATTAATGGGCTTTATAGGGGAGCGGCAGGCAGCCTGATTACAGTCCTTTGAAATTCGGTAATTACACTGATTAGGATTAGAAGCGTCAGTGGGGAGGGTGTGTGGGAGAATCTGCGCAGCCCAGAGAAGTTGGCGCTGCCGCACTCGTCAGAGGAAAACGGGCCGAAAGCAGCAACTTGGCTGCCCGGCCTTGGGTCTCCTTCTTGAACATGCACGAGTGCACGCACGTTCCAGAGAAGACAGAGTGGAGGTAAGAGAGACTCTTTCTGGGTGGGTCTCCGTAGAAGAACAAGCTAGAGGCAGTGTTGTGTTTTTCTCTTCCTTCTCCTGCTCCTTCGATGTCGGCTGGCTGACACCTCCATACCCAGCCCAAGAAGAAAGATCTGCTAACGGAAATGACTCTTTCCTGTCCTCAATCCCTCCTGTTCAGGTTAGCAGAGACAGAGTCCCCCAGAGCAGGCAGATTCCTGGTTTCGGAAGCACCCTAAGGAATTCACATTTGGGAAACCCCAGGCCCTGGGCAGCAGCTGGGGAGGGGTGGGACTTTGATTCTCGTTGGAAAAAAGTCTTACAAAGGTTTTTTCCTAATGAAAACAAGGTAAGTATGATATTCATATTTTCAGTAGCGTGTAAAACCTTTCCCCTTTCTTTTTAAATGGAAAATGCTTAAAGAACTTGGTCAGTCAAGAGTCACACATCTTTCTCAGAAAAAAATGACATTACAATCTAAAGGCCTGCAAATGCTCAGGGTAGGCTGAGACCCTGGGCCCCCGGGGTGGAGGCCCGCAGGATGGGGCCACCTCACCTCTTTCCAATACAAATCTGGGGGGCTTCCAACAGCTATCCTCACTTCTCCTCAAGGCCCTAGCAATGGTGGCCCTAGGAGGTAGTGTTCCTCCCTTCAGACTGGAACCCTCCTGGTACAAATATAGCCACACCACCGGCTATTGTTTCAGATAAGCATGTGAGAAAAGGCAACGTGCACACGTGTGTACACTACACACACACACACACACACACACACACACACATACACACCAAGTCCAAAAAACAACAAAATTTGTGGCCACTGAAAACTCAGCATTGTATCAAATCAGCGCCCATACAAAGACAATTTGGAAAGATATGTACAGGGCATTCTGGAAAGCCAAATGTGCACCGCAAGGAATTATGACCACTATGGACTGTACAATCTCCTTCCTCAAATGTCCCAGGGACCAGGCACCCGGCCCGAAGATGGGTCTTGCGCCTCCAGCTCCCTGCTCCCTGCGCTCCCCTCCACCCAGCTGCCAGCTCCCGGGCAGACAGGTAGAGGTGCGCTTAGCAAATGCCCGAAGCAGTGGGCATCCTTTGGCATACCCCCTTGGGCTTGGCTCAGTCAGGCCCAAGCCTGGCTCTCTGCTCGGCGGGGAATGCTGGGAGAGCGGGGCCTGGCCCCAGGACTCCGGTACTTGAATAGGGAGAGAGCAGAGGCCTTTTAGGTCAAATCTGCCTCGGCGAGGAAGGGTAGGGGGACAATCCTAGAGGCCCAGTGGGAGGAGAAGAGGAAGGAAAGGTGACTTGCCACCTGCTCAGCACCTCTGGCATCGGGGAGCTCCTGGGGAAGGAAGGGCGGGGACAGAGAGGGCCAACTGGCAGAGACGACTTCCTAGGTGGACACTCGGCATTGGGGTCACCGTGAAGGCCCCCCGACATCTAACCAGTTTCTAGACGGGCCAAGCACCCCAGCTCCTTAGGGCTTGGAGCACTGTCCAGGTAGTAGCTCTGTCTGCCTCAGTTGGCCCGTGAGGCAGGGGGAAGGAAGGAAAACCCCAACCTTAGGGTGGAGTCCTCCGAGCTGGTGGCCTCACTGGGGTGAGAACACAAACCTCCAGACTTGATAACGGCCCCGGGCTCCAGAGAGCGAGGCCCGGTGCCTACTCTGGGAACGGGGTAGACAAAAAGAGGTTTGTCTTCTCATGGGGGTTAAACTGCTGTGGTTGCTATTTGACCCTGGCTGTGCACTCTTTTGGGCTCCACAAAAAATGTGCTACAGTTTTTAAAGCACCACAGAGGGATAAGGGTTTGGTGTCGGGGCCAGAAGGATGGAACGAGGGGGGGGGGTGGGGGAGGCGGGCTCAGCAGTGTCTTTGGTGGGGCCACTGACAGTTCAGGGGCGGGTCACCTCTACACTTGCTGAAATGGGCTGAGCAGCCCCTGGAACACAGGCAGGGATTCTTAGGGAAGGCCTGCCCCTGGCAGGAGCAGGGCAAACCCCGGACGCCTTCTGCCCGGCTCACAGGGTCCCCAATTCCCAAATGAGACATTCTGAAAGGAACACGTGTCCCCGCCGTGGACACCATCGTTCAGGGGAAACCAGCCACCCATAGTTCAGCTCCATGCCTGACTCTGGAAGAGGCAAGGGGCCTACAGATTCACATGGGGAGGCTGGGGATCCCCCTAGGCCTGGACCCCCAACCACTGGCAGACCAGGGGTTCCTCTGGGAAGGTCAGCACCTGTGGCCTTCCCAGGGGTTTCCCCGCATTCATACTAGTGGTGAGTAGCTTTGGCAGTGCCAGGACAGGGCTGTGGAGAGGCAGAGTCCAGGCTGGCAAAGGTCCCAAGGGGCCCGTGCCTCCCCTGGAGGAGCTAGAACCCCAGCTCAGCACTGCTCTCCACAGTCGGTCCCCTAAATGGTCGGGAGTGTGGGGTCGGGCAACGGAAGTGACTGATTTCCTTTCGCCCTGTGAAGGGCCTAAGTGATGGTGTTCCAAATCTCTGCTCTGTTCATTATTTGCCTATTTCTGAGGAGTCTTGTTGTTTTTTTGGGTTGTGTCCTGGCCTCTATCCTCAAGACGTAAATTAGGAGAACAGAACACATGGGACTCTTGTAGAAAAGGGGCGCCATGGGGTGGACTTCCCTCCGGATCTCCTAGCCTGGGGTGCCACCCACTGTGGCTGACATCGACTCAGTGGGGTGATTCCTTTGGCATAAGAGAAACCAGTCCCTGACCTGGGGACGGGGGGGGGGGGGCTTCTGGGAGAGGTGGGCTGTGTTCTAATGGGGGTGGGGGGCTCTGACCCACCCCCACCCCGCCTCTGACCATGGATTTCCTAAAAATCCACGGTTGGGAAATTATTTGGCAACAAGGAGGCTAAGGCTGTTTTGTGGTGGCACAGTCTTTAAAAAGTTAATTAAAAAAAGAGAAGGAAAGAAAAAGTGCCCCTGAAAGAGGCTCCCCCCGACTGGACATATGGGCGCCTACTTGTCTGGGCTGGCGCTGGCACCCACTATCTCCTCATACCTGGGGGGCGGGTCACTGTAAGAGATGCTGGCCTCCTCACTGCTGCTCTCCTGGGGTGCAGTCACCTCCTCGTAGGAGGGGGGCGGGGTGGCACTGGAGAGTCTGGACAGAGAGAGCTCAGGGAGGTACAGGCTACTCTCCAGGCGCACGGTGCTCTGCATGGCCCGGCTGGGCCCCGAAACCCCCTGTGAGCTGCTCCCCGCCTCCCGATGCCCAGAGGACTCCCCGTGGCTCGTGTGCAGGTTGCCTCGATACACCATGACCCGGGGCAAGTTGTGGCCCGTGCGATTAGCCAGGTACCGATTCTGAGCATAGGACGGGTGATGGCGAGTCGTTTTCTGCAGCTGGCACCTCCAGATGATGAACAGGGCGATGACGATCAGCAATGCCACCCCCAGAAGGGGTATCACCACATACATGGCTTCCGAGGTCTGGGAAGGGTCTCGGACCGAGTAGACTGCATTCGGGTACCCCTTCCAGAACTCCATCTGCAAGAGGAGTAGCGCAGAGTGAGGTATAGATCCCGGAGCCCCAGTGCGAGCCCACAACCTTGGTGGACGGTGGTGTTTCTCCCGGATCGGCCTCGGGGAGCTGGTGGAGAGGTGCTAGGGTGTACCCAGAACCAGGGGTACTGAGCGATATTGGTCCATTCTGCCCTCCCACAGCCCCCACCACAGACCCAGTCTCTCACCAGCCCAACCTGCCTGCTTCTGCCCGTGCGAGCCTGCAGTACTTGCCGTTTTCTCCTTATCCTCGAACACCTCCTTGACCTCTTCGTAGCTGCACACCTCCTCCATGCACTCACGCTCAATGGTGCCCTGGCGCAGCTCCTCCAGGAATTCATTGGCACGAGGGACCCGCTTCAGGACTGAATTGGCATCCTTAGCCTTCAGGAATGCTGTAGAGAGCACGGCACTAAGGGCCAGATTGGGCGGGAGTGCCCAGGGCCCCTCCAAACCCAAGTCAGCCGGGTAGAGTAGCACGGTGATAGTAAACAAACAATGGGCAGGCAAAGCGGCAGCCAGCCCTCTATTACCCCGTACCCTACCAGGCAGGGAGCTCTCAGTCCTTCTCATGGAGGCCAACAGGAGCTCCCAGAAAGGGACCAGAAGAAACTGCATGTTGCTGAGGAACAAAGTGGGTGAGGGGTGTCGAGTGCTGCAGTTGTGGCTGAATAAAAGCCTAATGTCTCACCTCTGAAAGAGGCAAGTGGAGCCATTCTTTATCTACTCCCCCATGGGGCTGGTGCTGGTGACCAATCCAAATAGCCACACAAGACGTGGTTGGGGGTGCCTTCTGTGCCATTACATTGCCTGGCATGAATAACCTTGCCCAAGATGGTCAAATCCAGGCTGGAGCTGAGATAGGGTCTGGCTGTGCATGAACCTGAGTGGCCCCTGGAGGTGGTAAGGGTGGGCGGGGAGTTGGAGTCTATACAGAGAATCTATGGCTTTCTACGTTGGGCACAGACGTCACCCACAAAGTGGCACTGTGATGTAGATGGATTGCTTTACTCCGAAGGAAGCTACCCAGCTATGCAGCCGATAGGGAGCTACCACTGGCAGGCTGTCCAGGGAATGCTGAGAAGGCCTTAGAAAGTGCCTCGAGGCACTGCTCACCAGCATTAGACCTGGAACTGGAAATACTCACTTGCCATGATGCTGCTTCACAGATGGAGTCTCAGTTGCCTAGGAAAGGAGAAACGCAGTCATGATCAGCTCTTTCCTCAAATCCAACAGGACACCCTTTTCACCCAGGGACTGCCCTGTAACCACACTGATCCTACCAAAGACCAGAACTTTCTAAGCTGCATCCGCTCAAAGACTCAGAGCTTCCCGTGCTTCCCCCAGCTCTTTTCTATAATTCTCTGAGGACCAAAGGAGCAGAAGGCAAACCTTTCGGCCATTTCCTAAAACATCCTGTGAGAGTCAAGAAGAAAAATGCTTCTTCAGCCCAGAACTCCCCCCTCCTCATTTTCCCTCCAAGCAGCTGCACATTTGACTTGGAAAGACAGAGGGACTCTGGCAACATCAAGCAAATCAACAGCAAGAGAGCCAGGACCTACTGTGGAGCCTATTTTTCTCTCCTGACGGCCAGAGCCATATACCCCTGACCCTAAGTGATGTCCCTGGAAACAGGCAGCCTGCACAGATTCACACGGTGACAGCAACTAGTTTCCAGGTTAGGGCTCCACCCCACATAACTTGCTTGTCCGTCATCACCGGACAGGGTGGCAAGATATCTGGGATCCCCTGAAACCAATCACATCTTTCCTCTGCAGTTCAGAACACTATGGCAGAGAACCAAGATGTTGATTTATGGGATGGAAACTGAGGTGCAAGATAGACACATCCCTCGACTCCAACACGAGCTACTGCCCCAATGCCTGCTTGCTGCTGTTCAAGAATTATCCAGCCAACATGTTGCTCTCCCCAACACTCCCTCTCACACACACATATTCCAGAGCACCGGCCAAGCAGTCAACATCTGGGAGCCATCAGCCCTCCACATACACACATGCACACACACACACACACACACACACACACACATACACATACACACTAAGCAGAAGCTCTGATTTTCAGACGAACTGGATAGAAGGTAGATAAGTGAAGTAAACATTCATGCCATCTTTCCTAGGCTGCCAAAAAGTAGACGTGCACACTGCTGGCCAAGTTCAGGGACCCTAGGAGAGATGCAGTGCAGCCACATACTTCTCTCCCATGATGCAGGATTCTATTCCCATTGCCACAGAGTCATGAGGTTTTAAAAATATGCCTTTGAATTCTTTTGACAAACAGGTAGGACAGCAATCATGAGTCAGCTGAAACCCAAAGAAAAGACAGCAAATCTAGCATCCAGCAACAGAAATCCCGCATCAGAGAACTTTTCTCTTTGGGACACACAACAGACTCCACCCCAAACAACCCACATGTGAATCCACCAACCCATGAAACCTGTTGACCCTCAATGCATCTAAGAGTGAGGTGCAACTTATCACAGGATTCTGCTTCCAATATGGCTCTCCCAAGTGCCCCTGGAGCCAACAGCAGTCAGGTGGGGCAGGTGTGGGTGTGGTACTTCTGCCAACAAGGTATCTGAGAAGGGAAAAATTGAGCTGCTATGTCAAGCAAGGCTTGAAAAGTCGGAGTAAAGGCTTCCTGAGAAGCGAGGGTTGAAAAATACACGTCATCGCTTATGGAAGGCAACAGCAGTGTGCTTTTGAAGGTTTAAGCTGGGAAATTTCCAGAAGTGCTCCCGTACAGCCATCTTTGTCCCAAACGCACCCCACTTTGCTGCATACACACCCATGCGTATGACAGCCACCAATGCAAGCTCGCCTGACCCCTACACAAGTCATCGGTTTCTTTTTCAATTCCCCCTTAGAGTCAGCCCCCTCGGCCCACTGCATCAGCCATTCTGTAGCCTGCATCGCTGCCCCTGTTGCGGCCATGAGGCCTTCTGGCCCTCCTGCCCCCCAATTTAGCGCCGGCTTCTTCCCCTATAAATACACCATCAATAGGCTGTTCCTATGGCAACAGCGAGGAAGCGGGAGGCACCAGCACCAGAAAGCGCTGCTGCAGTCACGCACGTATATGTCCCTCGGCCCCTGCTGGATACTGGAAAGCTGATTGCAGGCCGGAGGAATTTTAACCCGCTCCCCCCAGGAACACAGCTGAATCCTGAAGGCCTGGAAAGGAAGGAAGGCTAGCTGCCACCAAGCCCTTCCCTCACCCTCCCTGGCTGAAGCGTCACATCTCAGCTCTGGGCCGCCGTTCGCAAAGTGCCTCGCCCCGGGACTGGGAGCCACCACAGCACCTGGTGTCCTCAGATGTGGCCTCCAAAGCACGACTCCTACCCCCCCGCACCCCCACACCAGCTGATCGCCAAGAAAGGCTCCTGTGATCTCCCGATCTCATGACTCAGCACCCCACCTGGGGACACGGGACTCCCCAATTCTCCAGCTCCAAGTCTGGGCCCTCCTGGCACCCTTTGCCCTGCAGGCCAGCCCTCCCCGAGGGAACCGGTCCCGGCCCGGGGCCCGCCGCCGCCCGCAGCGGCGCTCTGCCCACTAACTCCGGCTTCTGGCCGGGCCCCCGCCTGCCCCCCGCCCCCTGCCCGGGCTGTCCCCAAGCCCCTGTGCCCGGGCCCCCGCGGGCCTGCAGAGCGTCCCCCTCCCCGCGGGGTCGCGGGGCCGCTCGGCGAGCCCGGACAGCAGCACCGGGCCGTGCCCTCGGGGCTGGGGTGCCCCAGTCCCGGGGCCTCACCGTTCTCGGGGCGCAGAAGGCGGCCGCCCCGTGTGCGCACGCAGCCCGCCACCTCGCCGCAGCGCCCGTGCCAGCAGGGCCCCTGTCCCCGCCCACCTGTCCCCCCCACCCCGCCGCCCGAGCCGTTACCTCGGACCCCCCCGGGCCCAGCTCTCTCCTCCTGGGGCACCGCCGCGCCCGCTCTGGCCTCGCGCCCCGCCTCGAGCGCCAACGGGCGAGCACCGTGAGCCGAGCGCCGGGCCGCAATCGGGGCCCCGGGGCTGAGGACAGCCGGAGGCCGGGGGGCGGGGGGGGGAGGCCGAGCGGGCCGGGGGTGCGGGCAGGCCCGAGGGGCGGCGGCGCGCTCCGAGCCCAGCGCGCCCGCGCCCCGCTCCGCGGCGCCGCCCCTGCACCCGCCCTGCCGCGGGGGGCGGGGCCAAGCGGGCGCGGGGCGCCCCCCGCACCCCGCACCCCGCACCCCGCACCCCGGGCGCCTCCCGGACCCCCGCGCGCGCGCGGGCCACGGCCCCCCCCCAAACCCCCCGGGCCAGGCTCCGCGGGGCCGCGTTTGGGCAGCCGCGCCCCAGGCCCCACCCCGCGGCCAGCCTGTCGCGGGCTCACCTGTCGTGCCCCCCGTTCGGCCGGGTGCCAGCCGGGGATGAGGGTCCAGCCCGCCCGCAGGCCCGCCTCGCCCGGCCCCGGCGCCCCCGCACAAGGGCCGGGCCGAGACGGAGTCCAGCCCTGGCTGGGTGACCTTGGCTTCGTCACTTACCTCCCCGCACCCTGCCCCCGGACGGCCGCCCGTTCCCCTGGCCAATCTGGGAAATGGGGAGAAGAGCGCGTCCTTCGCGGGGCCGCAGCGACAGCCAGGAGGAAGTGGGCTGGGGAGACTCGAGGGCGCCTCAAGAGCGGAAGGAATCTTCTGGGCCTGCAAGGGGAGGTGGGACCGGGCGGGGGAGGCCACGGTGGGAAATTCAGCCCGGCACAATCCGGCCGCGCTGACCGCAGAGATGACGCTGGTTCGAGACAGTCGCGGGATGACGTGGGTGGGGAAGCGGGTCAGGATGGTCCCCAGAAGCTTGGGGACTGCGCAAAGCCAAGGCAGGGTCACCCGCACCCCGCTGTGCGGAGGGGGGTCTTGGTTCCCGCAGCCGCACCTCCTCCAATGTGTTGCTTTGGACCGGAGGAGCCTGAGGTGGGCTCACTCCCGGAAGCGCTCCGGGCTCCAGAAGTTCCCACCCGCCCTGGCAGAGGAGAGGAAAACGGGGTGGGGGTGGCCCTCAGCGCGGCCCTGCTCCCGCCCCCACTCCAGGGGGGCTCTCTCCTCAGCCCCTCCTCCCTTCGGCCAATCCTCCCTGGCTGCTTGGTCATCTCCTGGCCTGTGGGACTGCCAGTCTGGTCTGCGTCCTCCCTCTTTCGCACGCGGGGAGACCACATCTCACACTCCCCCCACCCCCAGCTTCTAGGAGAAGCTCCGAAGGGGGCTCCTTTGGAACTGGAGGTTTTTGAGGCAAGGACGCAACCTTAGTTGGGGGGGGCACACCTGGGCTATGGTTGGTGGGAAAACACTTTGAGGTTTTGGGGGAACTGCCTTCCGGCGTCTCCCATCCACCACGATGCTCCCGAGGCCAAGGGGTGGGGGTAGGGGTTAGGACACACTGGCAGCCTCAGTTCCCCCAGTACCATAGTTCTGCTCCTTGAGCCACAGGAAGAGACTTGACACATCTGTCTGTATCTCAGTTTCTTCTTCTGTCAACAGACAGTGGGGACACCAGTACCTGCCCTTCCCTGGGATGGACAGGTCCTAGGGCAAGGGCACTCACCCTGTCAGGTGTGCTTTGCCAACAGCACCTACTGAGCCTGCTGTGTGCCTGGCACTCTCCAGCCCCAGGGACACAGGAGACTTGGCACATCACTAACAACTCCGGACCCTTCTTTCTCCCCTGGGGAGCCCGAGCCTTAGCTTCCTTGCCCTTGCCATCCTTAAAGGACTCACTACCCGATGCCCCCCCCCACCCGCCCCCAGGATGGCTCCAGCCTTCTGCTCTCTGCCCCACATACCTTTAGGCCTTGGTATGTGAACAGCCACCCCTGAACACTCACAGCACACACACAGACACTTGCCAGGATGGAAAGGGTCTGACCACTCGCTCTGCTAGTGGAGGAACTGGAGAGACCGGTACACTCACGAGGCTTTATTTTTCCAAGCAAATCATAATTACTTGAGCCTCCCCCCGGGCTGCTGGCATAAATCAGAACCTCATCGTGTAAATCCTGGACAGACATTCTGGTGTTCTTGTAAACCTTCACCCCACACTTTCCAACTCGATCGCGTCCAAATGTGCACACTTCTCTTACTTACTGCATTGTTGATCTCCACAAACATGCTTGGCATACATCAAAACCACATGTATAGGGCACTGCGGATTGTGGGAGGATCTAGCTCCGAAAGAGGATGCAGTAGTTGCTAATTTAAAGCCGGCAAGAGGCAGATCATGTGCCAGTAAAAACTCCCAGTACAGTGCAAGAGGACAGACTTTCTACCCCAACCTTATCCAAACTCCTAATCTGCTTCCATTTCTGATTCAGATTCCACCTGGAAAAGACCAGCTTCATGGGTAATTGTTTAGAAGGATTCCAATGACTTGCTGTTGCAATCTTGAAATTATTTATACTTTTGAGTGAGACCGGAATTTCCACTTTCCACTGAATGCCACAAAGTATATCCATGTCTTTTTTCCGTCAGGGACGTTCCAGCATCCTGCATCCATTCCCAGAGTCCCTACAATCCTATCTCTTTTCTGACTCCTCTTCCTGGTGAGCCATGACCAGTGCCTCCTTTCATCACTGAGCTCCATCAATCCCATCACCTTCCTCCATGTTACCTCTTCTGAAACAAATCACTGTACCTCATCTTTTGAATGCGGCAAACTCTCATGGTCTCATTCACTCCTGGTAACTTATTCTCTACCCAATCCTTCATCCATCCAGAATGGAACCTATGAACTGCACGGCTCCCTGGCCCACTATGTCCTCTCGGAGCCTCACCCCATCACTGAGCCTTCATCACTACCCCATGAGAATCTCAATCCACTGAGTTACCAGTTAACCAAGTGTTTCGAGATGAACTGTGCCCCTGGAAGTTCATATACTGAAGCTCTAACTCCCAAAGACTCAAAATATGATGGTATTGAAAACAAGAACTTTACAGAGCGAATTAAGCTAACATGAGGGCACTGAGGTGGGCCCTACTCCAATATGATGAGTGTCCTTATAATAAGAGGAATTTCAGTATCTGACAGGTGCACAGACAGAGGGACACATGGAGACAAGGTCATCTACAAGCCTAGGAGAATGGCCTCAGAAAACACAACCACACCAACATCTTGGTGTCAGACATCCAGCCTCCAGAACTTGAAAATAATGAATTTCTGCTTAAGCCACTTTGTCTGTTGTGCGTTGCATGGCAGTCTGAGCACACGAAGACATCAATTATTCATTCAGTGCTACTACGTGCCAGCAGGAAGTCTCCTAGAACCCAGAGTTACGGAAGCCAACCAAAGAAGCCAAAACTCCTACCTGCATGGGGATTAGACAAGACAAACAAAACCAAGAAATCAAAAACGAGGGGGAGGGAAATTTGTGGTGGGAAATGTACAGTGGTGGAGGGACGGGTGTGGGAACATTTATGACTGAAACCCAATCATGAATAAATAGCTTTGTAATGATCTATCATCTCACAGTGATTCAATTTAAAAAAACAAAAATGAGATATCAGAAAAGCAAAAGGTACTTAATATTGGGTCATTATCATTGCTGGCATAGGGAGGACACAATGATAAAGCAGTAAAGTCTATGGGATGTCATTTTTATTTGCAGGGGTCAAAGAAGATCTACTGAGAAGGTGGCACCCGAACCAAGACCCGGTGCCATCTGGGCCAATGTGCTTCAGGGAAAGAGTGAGTGAGGACAGTTAGGAGCAAGGTCAGAATGATGGTGGCATTATTAGGACTTGGTTGCTAATGTTGTGGAAAGATATTGAGGGTTCTGAGTTACGGAGTGCCCTCATCTGATTTCTCATCTCACACAAATGCTCATTCTGGCTGTTTTGTAAGACCAGACTGAAGAGTGGCAAAGACAAAGCAGGGTCTATCCAAACAATCCGAGTGAGAGACTTGCTGACTTAGCAGGTGATGGAATGCAGGTGGTGAGAGGGAAGCAGAGACTGGATAGATCTGGGTGGCAGAGTCTTTAGGCTTTGATGACAGATTGCCATTGGGCTGTGACAGAAAGACAGGAGTCGATGACAGCCCACTGGATTTTAAAACGGAATGGGAAGGATGGAGCTACTTGTACTGAGCTGAAGAAGCCAGCCATGAAGTAGGTTGGATTAAAGAGTCTGGCATTGAGGACAACTTTGGGTCTGTGTATCTGTCGGATACGCTCGGAGAATAAATAGAATCTAACAGCATTAGAGACATTAGACTGTAGGACAGCAATGAGGGAATGGTACAAAGCAAAGCCAGTAAAGAACCCAGCCCTGGCCAGTTCATCGTTTAGAGGTGGGGAGATGAGAAGACACACACAAAGGGCATGAAGGAGTGGGGGATAGGGGTAGGGGGAACCTAGCAGAATGGAATCAACTGCAGAAACCATATCATGAAGAAGAAAGGAGAAAGTTTTCAAATCCTGCAGACTGGAGAAGTCAGAGGAAGATGAAGAACTAAGCCCTGGGTTTAGCAATGAGGTCACCAGGTTCCTGAAAGGGCCTTTTCCAGGAAGACCAGGAAGATGTGGGAGCCAAAGGAGACCAATTGTTTCTGATCAAGGGTGGGAAAAGAGAAATGACAAACAGTGTAGGTGAACAGAGACAAGGCCATGTGGTACTTGTAGGAAGCGGTGGGGGGGAGACAAGAAAAGCATTTTTCTTAATATTGGAGAAAGCACAGCATAGCCATGTATTGCATGGTTCCCCGGAATAGGGGAAAGCGGATGATGGGGAGAGAGTTGCACACATAGGGGAGGTGCAAGAGGCTCTGGGGGCAGCTTTCATGGTGCCTGGAAGCAGGAAACCAAGTCAGCATCAGGCACAAGGGCACAAGAGGAGTGCTGGTGCTTTGAGAAAGAAAGGCTTGAAATTGTCTTGTGGGAGCTGTGGTGGCTGAATGCCCTCTGCAGCTTCAGAACTGTGGCTGTGTTGCATTAAGGGCCCACTTGATGTCAAACGGCCATTCATCTCAAGTGACATTGCTGGCCCGTCTTGTGTGGTTTTCTCCACACACTCTGCCTGATTGGCGTAGACTCACAGTACAGGGACTGTTGGAATTCTGCAAGATGAGTACAGGGAGGGAGACGCGTGGGTTTAGTGTGGGGTCAAGGAAGAGAATGAAAAGGACTAGTTACGGCTTGCAGGCTGTAAGTAAGGGAAGTGTCTGAATGCTGACCTAAGGCCAGCAGTGGCTGGTCATGGAGAATGAGACGAACAAACACCTACAGAGACAAATACACAAGCATCCAGGAGGGAAGGGGTGTCTCAACACTGAGCTGACAGAGACATTCAGTATAGTTAATAATCACTTCAATATTTCAACATACAATAGGTACATGAGGAGGCTGGGCTATTTCCCACAGCCAATCAGCAGGTATCTAAAAGACTCTAAACTGTTTACACTTTTTCCTTGGCAGTTTTGCTTACCCTGTGATCTATTCTATTCTTTTTTGTTAACTTTTTGGGTCACACCTGGCAATGCTCGGGGTTACTCTTGGCTCTGCACTCAGGATTTTCTCCTGGCAGTGCTCAGGGGATCTTATGGGATGCTGGGAATCGAACCCGGGTCGGCCGCGTGCAAGGCAAAGGTCCTACCCGCTGTGCTATCACCCCAGCCCCCTATTCTATTCTTTCTTGGGTGCACAT